ATTGAGTTAGAGCAATAAGTTGTGAAAATTTAGTACATTGTATATAAATTTTATAGCAGTTCACATAAATAAAGGCAAGATCACTTAAAAAAAAAAAAAAATACTTACATATAATATAATTAATTTTTTTTATATTTATTAAAATAAATAAAATTTAAAACTAATAATATTTAATAATATTAAATTAGAAAATATTTGGCTACTAAAGATAATCCTTGCAAGTTTAGATATAATAATAGAACTGTGTTCTGGAAATGCAGTTCTATGCAAGTTACTTATAACTAAAGACATATATCAATAGTTTATTGGTTGTTCAATATACTGTGTTAGAGATCAATAGCATCATTATATTAAAATTGATTGTAAAAGTATTGATATTATGCTTCTTGAGATTTATTTCTTGGAAAAGCAGAAGTATAAATTTAATTTAAATTTTATTATATATATTAATAAATTAATACTGTATAAAATTTATTAATTATTTTAGATACAAGAACAATTACCTTATTGTAATACATTATTGCATAGTTTATCTAAAAGAAAAAAATGCAGTAAAAATATTTTTATTACTAATTTATTAATTTACTATTAAATAAAGTTATAATTTATAATATCTTTTTTAAAATAGATAATATTCATATTTTTTCTAATAGAAAAATTGATCATGAAAAAATTATTCAAAAACTTGTCTAGTAAAATTTTATAAATTTATACTACAAAATCTTACTACTAGCCTTTTTATTGGAACTCATAACCATCCACCTCTACCTCCAGAAAAAATTCTAGTAAATATTAAAAAAAATCTTCAAGCTTTAATTAATCAAGCTATTAATGAAAATAATATTATTACTCTTGACAAATTTAATCAAGTATTAATATATTTTATTTAATTATTTTTAATATTTATTATTATTTATTTATTAATTTAAATTTATTATTTTTATAGGCAATTTAATCAAAGCTTATTTTAATTTTAATAATCTTTTAGATATTCATCAATTACTAAATAGTATAGATAAATTATGAATTATGGTTGCTAAAGCTTATAAAAATTTATATCCATATGAGCAAGATATATTAGAAGTTTTTCATGCAGTAAAGATTAATAATCCAGATATTAAAGATTATATTTATCGAATTGGCAAATTTAAATTAACTAGCTCTTAGGCCCGGGCGTTGCCCCGGGTGTGAGGTTCTAATTTTTTTCTAATTCTTAGGTTTAAATTTTAT